CCAGCGGCGGGGGGCCCCTGTGGCTCTTGTAAGAATGGCTGATGGCCCTGCGGGCTGCGCGGCTTGTGGGGTGGTCGAAGACCACGGCCAAGTGTGAGGGGCGCAGCCGCCGCCGCAGCTGCAGCAAACCCTAAACCCTAAACCCTAAACCCTAAACCCTAAACCCTAAACCCTGGACGCGGAACCCAGGGGGTGAAGGCGGCGTGGGCCCACGGTGGGCGCGGGGGGAGGTCGAAAACGGGAAGGAGTCGACACACTCAAGAGGCAACGGGGACACCAAACTCTAAACCCTAAACCCTAAACCCTAAACCCTAAACCCTGAGGGTGGGCTTCGAGCCCACCACTCGGTGTGCTTTAGTTAAACGTCAAGAGCAGCACTTTTTGAAGAAGAATTAAAGAAAGAAGCAGCAGTGTTAATTTCGGCGGCAAACCCTTTTTTAGGGTTTCCAAACCCTAAACCCTAAACCCTCAAACCTCCTCCTCACCTGAGCCAAAGCCCTCACAAAACCCCACAGGGCCCCCACATCTTCTCCTTCTCGACTTTTCAAATGAGGCATTCCATGAAAACATCTAAACATCACACAACTCCCATCCACCACTAAAAAACGACCCAACGCGGGGGCCCCCCTGGCGCCCCTGCTGGGGGACCCCAGGGCAGACGGGGTGCCCCCGGGGTAAGGGGCCCCCTCGGTGGGGGCCTCCTGGTTGGGGCCCCCTGAAGTGGGGGCCCCCTGGGTGGGGGCCCCCAGGGTGGGGGCCCCCAGAGGCGGGGGCCCCGGGGAGGGGCCCCCCGAGGTGGGGGCCCCTGTAGTGGGGGCCCCCGTGGGGGCTTCCACAACAGGGAGACTTGTGGTGGGGGCCCCTTTGGGGGCCCCCTTGGGGGCCACCCTGGGGGCCCTTTTGGAAGCCTTTTTGGGGGCCCCTTTGAGGACTTCTTCGGGGGTTTCTTTGGGGGCCCCTGTGGGGGCCCCCTTGCGGGCCCTTTTGGGGGAGCCCCCCGTGGGGGTCCCCGTAGTGGGGGCCCCTGTGGAGGGGGTCCCTCTAGTAGGGGCCCCTCTGGAGGGGGCCCCTGGGGAGGGGCCCCCTGTGGGAATTTCTGGAGACCCTTTTGTGGGTTGGGCAGCAAGAGAGGGGGCAGGGGGGCCCCCTGTCTGCATCCTTGCAGCAGCAGGAGCAGCAGCAGCAGCAGCAGCAGCAGCGCTTTTGGAGCTGGCAGGAGAGGTGAAGCAGCTGCAAAAGCGGGGGGACAGGGGGCCCCCAAAGGGGGCCCCCTGGCCTCCTCGGGGGCCCCCGAGGGCCCCCCGGAGGGCCCTGGGGGCCCTAGGGGCCCCCCGGGGGCCCCCAAGAATGCTTAAACCCAAAAGGGTCTCTTCGGGGGCCCCCCTGCTGCAGGGGGCCCCCACAGCTTGCAGGGGCCCCTCCATGTGTCTTTTAGGCCTTCTGCGTCTGCTGCAGGTGCTGCAAGCAGCATGCAGCAGCAGCAGCTGCTGCTGCTGCTGCTGCTGTTGCTGCTGCTGCTGCTTCAGGTGGGTGGGCGGGAACCGTGAGAGAAACGCTGCCGCCGTTGTTGCTGCTCTTGCTGCTGCTGCTGCTGCTGCTCGACGATTGGCAGAAGCAGCAGGGCCCCAGGATACAGGGGGGCCCCCGAAGCAAATGGGGGGCCCCCCAAGTCTCACTGGGGGCCCCCAAACCCTCATAGCTGGAAAGGCCAAAAGGGTACAGTCTGGCAGCAACGGGGGGCCCCCTTCACACACTGAAGAGGGCGA